GAGCCTCACCGGCGAGCCTACATAGTTTTTCTGCATCATAGACAGCCATAATCAAGCCGCTTGTCATTCCTTGTTGTATACAAAGTATTTCCAAATATAAATTCTTACCAGCTTAATCCGATGCGCTAGGCTTGCCTTCTACAATCTCTGCCAACGTGGCCTACTTCATGGCACCTAAAGCATTCATCACCCGGCCTCGAGTTGGCCTGTCGTCCTTGCCTTTAAAGCTTAAGCTATTATCATAAGTGTTGGCTCTAGAGGCCTTACTCTTAGTTGCGCCAGCCTTGGGCATCTTGCCCTGTGACTCTTTACAAACTGGGCTATAACCTTAGCCAGCCGTTTGACCAGGTCGCTCCCGAAATGGCTCTCTCTGCTTGCCTGAGCTACCAGCACCTCCCCGAGGGCCAGGGCCCTGTGGGTCGAAGGCCTCCACTGGTCGACCTGCGTACCGCACCAGTTCCTCCCTGATACCCGTGGTACGCCCCTGCTTCATGGCGCCGAACTGCTTCTTCAGCTCTTGGACCACATGTAAGTGTGTTGCCATAACCTGTATAAATGACACCACAAGTCCAATTAACGTGTGTCATACACATGCAAATTGCAACCTCAAACGCTCCCGCTCACACACTGTACGTGTAAGCAACTTCCCATGAAGCGTTTCCGAGCCAATGTACTTTTATACCGACCGCTCCGTACGCCCCAGGCGTACAGCGATCCGTACATCTCGGCTCCGCGTGCCCTTCACGCTCACCACGCGGTACCCCAGCGTTCACCTATTGAACGCCTTACCGCTTGTAACACATTACAGGGCGCCTCGCCCTACACGTGAGCTACACGATGGATAAAACCATCCGCACACCCGGTGTACTCGTAGCTCACCACGGGAGTAATACCACTTTGTAACACATTACAGGGCGCCTCGCCCTACACGTGAGCTACACGATGGATAAAACCATCCGCACACCCGGTGTACTCGTAGCTCACCACGGGAGTAATTAGGTATCCACGCTAGGAAACCACACTCGCGCCTCCAGGTGGGAATGTGCGCCCTGCGCAATCAAGTCTGCACGTGTGCCATTCCCCCTGCATTACAAAATTTGCATACAAATCCGACCGAGGTTCTACATACAGACTAAGACGATGTACGAAATCAAAACAATGCTACCAACACGAGCAACGTACCTTTACGAAACTCACACACGAGATAAAACAGTCAAATACATGGTAGCAACCAAAAGCCATCATTCAAACTCCGAAATGCAGAAAATTCGACTGCAAGGACTGTGCCCTTACCGCCCGCGCCGCCTGGGGCTGCTCTAGCGCCGGCCCCGGCTGCGGGTCCGCTGGAGCTTGTGCCCCGCTTGCTCCCGCCGAGCGGCCCGCTGTCCCTGTGGCGTTGCCTGTTGTCCCTGCGGCGCCTCCTGTTGTCCCTGCGGTGCATCTTGTTGTCCCTGCGGCGCATCTTGTTGTCCCTGCGGTGCATCTCGTTGTCCCTGTGGCGCATCCTGTTGTCCCTGCGGTGCATCCTGTTGTCCCTGCGGCGCATCTTGTTGTCCCTGCGGTGCATCCTGTTGTCCCTGTGGTGCGACGTTGTTCTGCGGGTCTGGTGGCTGGATGTGTTCCACTCCTCCCTGCTCGGGTTGGCGTTGTTCGTCCCCCTTCTCGGCGTGGAGGTTCCCGAAGCGCTTGGTTCCTGAGACATGTTATCTGACAACGACATAAATATAACACGTCAGAACTTGGACTCTCAACTAAGTCCCCCAACCCAAGCAAGAGTCCGCCACGCTAGGTAGTTAGGCCAGGTCGTGGACGCTTCAGGAAACTTGACTTGAGCTTTCCTCCCCGTTGAAAACATAACAAGCCAAACCACCCCACACAATCCCGCAAATGAGAAAACAAGCATACACATGTAAATGCAGGGTCTCAGGTGCGTATTACCGCATCTGTACAGTAAAATCAAACGGATAAAGCAAGGCGCACAAAGACGCCCAAAATACTTGTAAAACCCGTCCTAAACGGGAAAGCTTTACCACCGCCACACCCAAACCTTTTGGAGGCGACTTAGTCGGGCTCCGAACTCAGTCAGCGTACACGTGGCTGGGCTACTGCTAGCCGATGAGACTGCTTCTCTGGCAAAACTGGCGATGCTGGCGTGGCGATGTCTCCGAATGAAAGGGCAGAATGGAGTGCGCGCGCGCCTTATAAGGGGTTTGATTGGTGACGTCATTTCGGATGACCAATCACAGTGCAGTGAAGATATGGCATGTATATGGTATCCTGGTGACGGCGTTAACGCCCTGTAGGATATCGTTACCAATCAAAATGGAAAACAAAATGACCAGTTTGTATTTAAGGACTGATCAGCGTACATAATTGGGGATTTGTGGTAAAAGTGGGATAACATATGAGGGTCAGGAAATGTGGTTTTGGGTAGTGTACCTCAGAAGTAATTGCTGGCTTTCGGGGTAAAGCCACCAAATTTGCAGAGAGCTTCAGTTCAGAAAGCAAACCTGGCAAAGACTTATCACAACTATAGCATGGATTATTACTTTTACTCGGCCTTATGCTCGTTGTATCGGTACTGGATGCTCCGGTTTGGAGACAAGTCTTTTGTGTGGGACTTTCTCAAAAGTTTTTGAAAGATCGCGGGTTATACGCCAGTCGAGTTTACTGTGCCGATAGTTATCTAAACACGCTAAGACCCTGTTTACACCAGACTTTTATTTAGCTGTTTCAATCGGTTTTTCAAAACCCGGTTTTCCCTAAAAACACGACTTTCTCTTACGCCACAACACGAACAGCTACTTGTATTTCTCTGTACAGGTAGGTCATCTATAAGTAACGCTCTACAGCACGGCTACGTGATCACAAGGAGCCACAAGCACACTGCGATGGTTGTGTCCCGGGATCCGTGTTGACGTACTGAGAAGATCGAGTTACAAAGGTACGAAGGCCCACAACGACACTTCCACAGCGCGCTTCCAAGGTACCTTCCATAGCGCGATTCTGCGAATCTTCCACAGCGCGATTCTGCGAATCTTCCACAGCGCGATTCTGCGAACCTTCCACAGCGCGATTCTGCGAACCTTCCACAGCGCGATTCTGCGAACCTTCCACAGCGCGCTGCCAAGGGACCTTCCACAGCGCGATTCTGCGAACCTTCCACAGCGCGATTCTGCGAACCTTCCACAGCGCGCTGCCAAGGGACCTTCCACAGCGCGATTCTGCGAACCTTCCACAGCGCGCTGCACGAGGCCCTACAACCCCTCCCCTATTTTAGCGGACGGTCCCTTATAGTGGACGACCTGTGACCTGATGGGTCAAGGGTCGTACCGTATATTATGGGTTACATTACAGCTACGGCCAGCATAATTTTTGTGTTCTTGTAACGTTAGACTTAGAGTAGAAGTAGATTTCCTGTGTTTTTATGTAATTGTCTTTTTTTTTTTGGTTTCCCACCCCTCCCACGTGTGCAGAATTCCAGAAAAGGCGGCTCTTTGAGGTGAGTTGGTTTTCTAATGATAAGTATTTTATGACAACTACTAAGCTAGCTTTTGTCAGTAATTTTATATTTAAAAAAAAAACATCTAGTAACCTCCATTACCATCAATACACCATGTTGACGTAAAACTAAAAGTCACTGAGAAAGACATTTTGTCTTTACTGCAACGTGCCCCAAGTGACCATGCAGTAAGGAATTTTTTCTATATCAAATATATAATATAGTTATGTTTAATATTGTTTGATTCTATATTAAAGTTCATTTTGGTTCGCCATTCAGTTTGCTCCTGATCTAAGGCCTGGCTATGGAAACATCTGTACCAGCTCCTTGTCTTCGGCAGTATGACACTGGTAAGAAGTTCTATTGTTTTTTTTAAATCCTATATGCCTTGCAGTTTGTTATCTTCCTTAATATCTTTAAAAAATCAAACACAACTTAAGATGTGTTATATTTCTTTTTTTTTTAATTTCATGACTGTGAAGTAAATATTTACCTTTTCCCATCTCCTCACCAGGGAAATTTATATAAGCTGAAATAAGTGTATAAAGAAATTGACCAATAGTAGCCCTAACAAGTTTGCTTTCATCCATCTTACTTGGCACCGTATGACTTTCAAATTCTTAGCATTGTGGATTTATTTGCAAATCTAGCTTTTTTTTCATAATTTACCCGACAATACTTAACCCATAAATGTGTTTGTCACTGGATAAAACTATTCCATGCATCTTATTTTGTTGGTGACCATAGCAGAATCAATTCCAAATGTGGCATAGTATACCTTGTTTCTTTACCACACATGCCTGTCCTGTACTATGATTTATATTTCCTTACAGAGGATGACCTTCTCCGTGACTACTGGAGAAGAGGATACCAGTACTCTGAAATTTCTCTTTTTTTATCACAATTTCACAATGTTCACCTCAAGTAAGTAACGGCTGTTAACATGTTAAGTACATGTATATATGCCAGTCTATCATAAAATTTGGGCCAGGTTCATCTGTAGTTGGCTATAATCTGTTTAGGAAGAATAATGAAATATATAGGTGTTATTTTTTACTGTATAGGCTATTGTTTAATGTGATGCAGACTAACAGTTTTCCTTTTGTTTCATTTAATAAAATATGATCTTGCTGTGGCCCCAGGTCAGGCCCTGTCTGACTTGTCAACATAATATTTCCAGTTTTTACTGACCAGTGTCAACTAACCAAAAAACTGCACTGTAAGTTCTTTCCATTCTAGCCATCTCTCCTTTTTTGTCTCTCTGCAGACCTCTTTTTAGGTCTTGTCTCAACTTATTTTCTATTTACTGCTCCGCCCCTCTTTATGTTCAATTGTCTCACTTGTCAACATCCTTAAATCAAAGGTGGAAGTGAAAAAATGGTACATGTACCTGTTGCATTGTTTTCATAGTATGGTAATGAGAAGAAGCCTTACATCAAGTTACATGTATGAATCTACAGGCACTTCTAATGTAATTTTAGGGCACCTGTTAATCAAACTGTAAATGGTTGCTTACAGCAAGAGCTTCATCTTTTGATGAAAAATCTTTCAATGTAGAAGTTGATTTGTTAGAAAAGCTGTAATCAAATTCAGTCAGCTGTTGTACATCACACAGACATACCTGTCACACCTGGCTGTTGTACATCACACTACCTGTCACACCTGGCTGTTGTACATCACACTACCTGTTACACCTGGCTGTTGTACATCACACTACCTGTTACACCTGGCTGTTGTACATCACACTACCTGTTACACCTGGCTGTTGTACATCACACTCCTTGTTTTAACCGTTTTATTTCCTGTTTTTCTTACTAGTATTTATTTTAGATTCGAGGCAATGACAGACATAACGTCATCTTCGGGCGGGATGAGGCTGGATGTCCCACCAGACGTAAATAGACCATACTCAGCGATTTTAAGAATGTTGTATATACAATGTATATTTGGCACATTAGTATATAATTGTTGTCTGATATCCATGTCTGCAAACCTGGCAAGTCTGGTGAAATCACACAGACGTATATTGGAAATGCCATGACTCAACGAAAAAAGTAATCAGTTTTTTTTTCTAAACTTTATTTGTACTTGTGCAAGAAGGAGGATAGAAATTATGCCATATTTCTTCACTATAGGACAACTTTGGCAAATGCATTACTCTGGTGCATTTGACGAGGACCAGGCAAATTTCATGGGTGAATGCATCCAGAAAGAGGTGCCGATCCCTCCGGATTTGTCCTTGGTGAGACACAATTTCCAATGTGTTACATTCTCATCATTTGTTAATAATTTTGTCTCACTTTAAGTTTTAAAATAAAGTTGAATTTAAATTACAACTAGGAAGACAAGGAGTTTTTAAACTCTCATCTGATGCCAAAAGATGAGCACTATGGACCAGATTTTTGGCAAATAAAAAAAACTGAAGTGGGCAATTTAGAGAACCAACATTTAAATTGGTTTGGCCTTAGCTGTCTTATATATAACCCATTTTCTTCTTTTGGCTATAGGCGATGGAATACCGCATCATGGTGCTCCTCCCAGAAGCGCTGGCTGTCATTTACCACATAATGAAAGGCACAGTAACGATGGAGGAGGATAGGGATTATATCCGGAAGGCGGGGTGTTGGGAAGACCTTTAAAGACCAATAATGTTAAAACACAACGTTAACAGTTCTTGAAAATAGTAATTTGGGATACAGTAGGTATTATTCAAGGAACAAAGATGTTTGGACACAAGCTACACTTGTCTGATGTTATGGAACATTGAATCTTGCAAACTATCTTTTCGGTTATTAATTTCAGGCATCAATTAATCCAGTTAGATTCTGTCAATGTCTAAATGACATCACGGATACCACCTCTGTAATGTAAAGCAATTTCTATACATTGTTGGGGAAGACCACAGTTTCTAAGTTTAAGTATGGTACAAATCGTATTTACTGTCTGAATGTTTAAATTTGAATGCTCATGAAGAAATTTATTTCAAACAATCACAACTTTACTTACAAGTTACAATGCTATGGTAGTGGATTTTCATGTTTCAAGTTTGAAAGTACAAGCTGTAGATAGTGGAAAAAAACAAAGCAGTGTACGAAAAGAGATATTGAAGTCCTAACAGTGACATTAGTAAAGGCAATACTCGTTTATGCAAGAAAAGGTCACATTTACAATCTTTCTTTCTAGCTTCAAGCAAGAAAAAAAATCAATTAAACCTACTAGTAGTGTTAATTAAAGAAATACACCTTCATATCATGCAAAATGTTGTTTGTAAGGATCAATAAAATTTTGTAAAAGAATGAGTGAAGTGTTTCATTTTTGTAAGTTTTCTATGATACAGACATCTGGATACATTCTGACAGGTAACCCATAAGGGCAGAATACTCTTCATGCTGAATAGATTTAGAGATGATAAAAAACAATGTCATGTTAGACCTATGATCTTTATTACTAGTAATTATACTTCTTGAGTCACACAAAGTAAAAAAAAAAGTTGAGAATAGCCTACAAAGAATCCTTGGTCCAGTGCGCTAGGAAAAGAAAATAGAACACAACAAATTCGTACTTAATATAATAAATCATTTCCCTTTTAATAGGGGTTGAAATATGATTACGTTTGTACAGTATCTGAGCTGGCTATAAGGGACCGTCCGCTAAAATAGGGGAGGGGTTGTAGGGCCTCGTGCAGCGCGCTGTGGAAGGTTCGCAGAATCGCGCTGTGGAAGGTCCCTTGGCAGCGCGCTGTGGAAGGTTCGCAGAATCGCGCTGTGGAAGGTTCGCAGAATCGCGCTGTGGAAGGTTCGCAGAATCGCGCTGTGGAAGATTCGCAGAAACGCGCTGTGGAAGGTTCGCAGAATCGCGCTATGGAAGGTACCTTGGAAGCGCGCTGTGGAAGTGTCGTTGTGGGCCTTCGTACAAAGGTGAGGCGATCCGACTCGTCATTGGTTCCAGGGCAACGTAGCCTGGGGTCAAGTAAGGGTCGAGGTCAACATGCTACAGCGCTCCGTAATCACGAGATTTAGGCTAGGTGTGGTTCTACGTCAATCCCGCTGACCACAAGTGAATGAGTCACCAGGTAGTCCTATAGGTCGTTAGGACGGGTATATATAGTGGATACTGCAGGGCTGGTAGCACACCTCACGCAGAAGTCGCCAGGTGCACAAAATGGCCACCAAAGTAGGACTTGTTGTCGCGATCCTGTCGCTGGCATGCTGCTCCACTACGGTAGAAGGGCAGTTCTCACCGAGCTTCTACGAGACGTGGGGATACTACATCCAGCTGGCCTCGACCAAGCCCATTGACTGGAACACCACCATAGGTTATCTCATCGCTGGTCAAGTCCAGCAGTCTTGCTACGACCAGAGCTCCAAACTTCACACCGACATGACAGCTGGCCTGTCTTACGCAGTTCAGAGTAAGAAAGTTACGGCCACACCAATTTAATTTGTTGGTTCTCGGATTCGCCTCTTCGTTTTTTTCTGATTTGCAAAAAAAAATTGATTCTGGTCCTGAATCAACTGAAAAATGCTCATGTTTTGCCCCCCAACAGTTGATGAAAGTCCTTTTCTTCCTAGTTGTTACAGTTTTCCCATCTATCATTGCAGTGGTTTGATTAAAATTCAATGTTTAAATTTTAACCCAGCCTTTTGTGTTGACTTCATGGCTCATTTTGTAGCATTTTTAAAAGCCTATAATAGGATGCCTAGACCTGTTTTTATTTTTATTTTTTTTCGCCCTGTCGCTTCATATTTTTTCTGAAAAAAATCCGAGAACCAACAAATTAAATTGGTGTGGCCTACCAATAATGTTTTCAATTGGTTTTCTTCTCTATGAATAGTTTGCAGCTCCACATTTTTCTCCTGAAAACTGGGATCGATCACACAAACACTGCAGATTTGGGCGGGCCCGCGTAGGCAAGGTGCCTGTTTTTGTCTTTTTGTTGTTTGACTGTTGGGCCCGTGTAAACAGCTGTCTTTAATCATTTACTCTTTGGAGAACAAAGTGTGAGTGGATCTAGCTTGGTAACTATACACAGTGTCAAGCACGTTTTGGCAAATATTAATAGATGACATTAATGGTTATTACCCGTGACTGTTTCAATATAACGACCGTCCCCTCCCAACTCTTCCCATCTTAAGTTGTTGATAGATATTGTCGTTTCTATAACATATTTGGCCATTCGGAATCACATTATATAGGAAGGCACAAAGAAAGAATAAAAGCTTGACCAGTCATGCGACCAAAAGGAATTCGTACACATACCACACTTAACGATGGGGACGCCTATTAGCCATGTGCTACAACGGCGTTCTGTCTCTTTGACATATGGGGCCTTGTTTGACTCATTATTTTTATTAACCTTGACATTCGCATCATTTTGATGTTTAAATCATCGAAATCCGTCAATTCTGACAGGAGATATGAGTGTTCAAAGAACCACGCACAATCTGGCTATTTCCGGCAAAAGCGTTGCTAGGGCCATTGCTAGGGACGGCCTCGGAGGCACTACCCTTTAAAATTAGCTATCCTAGTCCAACTTCCGGACTAGATTTTGATCTTTTTGTGCTTACAATGAAGCCTATATATAGTATGCAATAAATCAGGAAGCTATAGATCGTGAAATGTTTGCTTTAATTTGTTTTAAAACATTACACATCGTCTATATGAAATGTATATCGGAAATATAATGTATTCGTAAAACCGTTGCTACCTTCGTTGCTGTTGGACGTAATGCGTACTTCTGACACATCCTACATTACTCCTGACTACTTTACTCCTGAAATTGTTTTCTTTACAAAAGTATATGCTGGAACAGTTTTATTAGTTGCCAGATTTGAAGGACAACGTGTACAGAGTTACCCCGATCAAGAGTTCGAATTTGCTGTGCCTTCCATGGTGCAAGCCTTTCCGTACTCCGATGGCGCTCTGCCAATCCAGAATCCACGGTGCAGTTCAAAGCGGCGGTATGGGACTTCCTCGATATTCAATATGAACAGACAACAATATTTCAACAAAGTGTGACGCCTAGGCTGCAACAAATGTCCCACAAAGCTGGAGCCACTACACACTGTCCTTGAAACAAGACGGGCGCCAAAATTTATAGGTTTATTACAGTACACTTGAGAAAGAGCACATTCAATATCCCAAAGTTTTACAATGTGTTTGATCGGTCATGCGTGTGTTTTGTTCAGGCCAAAGTTCAGCGCACGTCTTGTTTCAAGGACAGTGTGTAGTGGCTCCAGCTTTGTGGGACATTTGTTGCAGCCTAGGTGCGCACTGTGTTGGAATATTGTTACTCAGTGAAGGAGGTCAGGACCTCCGGACGGAGTGTTGTGAAGAGCCGTTTTTTCGTGTTCGCAGTCAAAACACAGGGTTCTCTTTGTGAATCCACGGTGCAGTTCAAAGCGGCGGTATGGGACTTCCTCGATATTCAATATGAACAGACAACAAGAAGCCATAGGTAACAATCCTCCGTGAAGTTTTATATTTTGCAACAAATATCATCCCAAGCGTCAACGCCAGGCCTACTGTACAGACATAAGGCAGCGGTTAATACAATGAGGGCGCGTCAGAACCATAAAACATAAAAAGACCTAAATCCATTACTGCTCTCAGGGCCTGTAAAGATACTGTGCTTCAAGTTCGAAGTTCTTTTAATTACACACACACAATCATTGCATTCACATAAAGATCGGACTATCATGGACGTCGTGTCACTAGTAACAAAGACAGCCCCACCGTCTTACCGTGCCTGTTACTTATTAAGCGCGACTGGCAAATTCCAGCAACAGTTGCGGCCAGCACCGCGAGTGTTACTGCCATGGTACCACTTATCGGCCCCTCACCATCTGCCTGAAGTTCCACCCCCCCCATCGCTATTCCAAACAACGGGTTTTTCTGGACCATTCCAATTTGCCTCACAATTGTAGGGGTGCATCTGCAATATTACATTGACCGCGAAAGCAGCCACGGCAAAAATACGCACTCGTGCATCAACACGGGCATTCCCGCAGACGGCGTATAAAATTGCATGCCGATTACACAAAGAGAACCCTGTGTTTAACTGCGAACACGAAAAAACGGCTCTTCACAACACTCCGTCCGGAGGTCCTGACCTCCTTCACTGAGTAACAATATTCCAACACAGTGCGCACCTAGGCTGCAACAAATGTCCCACAAAGCTGGAGCCACTACACACTGTCCTTGAAACAAGACGTGCGCTGAACTCTGGCCTGAACAAAACACACGCATGACCGATCAAACACATTGTAAAACTTTGGGGTATTGAATGTGCTCTTTCTCAAGTGTACTGTAATAAACCTGTAAATTTTGGCGCCCGTCTTGTTTCAAGGACAGTGTGTAGTGGCTCCAGCTTTGTGGGACATTTGTTGCAGCCTAGGCGTCACACTTTGTTGAAATATTGTTGTCTGTTCATATTGAATATCGAGGAAGTCCCATACCGCCGCTTTGAACTGCACCGTGGATTCTGGATTGGCAGAGCGCCATCGGAGTACGGAAAGGCTTGCACCATGGAAGGCACAGCAAATTCGAACTCTTGATCGGGGTAACTCTGTACACGTTGTCCTTCAAATCTGGCAACTAATAAAACTGTTCCAGCATATACTTTTGTAAAGAAAACAATTTCAGGAGTAAAGTAGTCAGGAGTAATGTAGGATGTGTCAGAAGTACGTATACGCATTACGTCCGACTTAGCAACGAAGGTAGCAACGGTTTTACGAATACATTATATTTCCGATATACATTTCATATAGACGATGTGTAATGTTTTAAAACAAATTAAAGCAAACATTTCACGATCTATAGCTTCCTGATTTATTGCATACTATATATAGGCTTCATTGTAAGCACAAAAAGATCAAAATCTAGTCCGGAAGTTGGACTAGGATAACTAATTTTTAAGGGTAGTGCCTCCGAGGCCGTCCCTAGCAATGGCCCTAGCAACGCTTTTGCCGGAAATAGCCAGATTGTGCGTGGTTCTTTAAACACTCATATCTCCTGTCACAATTGACGGATTTCGATGATTTAAACATCAAAATGATGCGAATGTCAAGGTTAAAAAAATAATGAGTCAAACAAGGCCCCATAGGTAACACGAATAATTTCCTAACTGCGTTTTTCGTACCAAAATAGCTTAAAAATCGAATTTTAAAGCGCCATAAAACTTTTAAAAAAGTAGAATTTTGAGAAAAAATTTACATTTTTGTTATCCCCATCAAAAGTTGTATCAGCCTATCAATTTTCATCAAAAACGTTGATATTTAATTTTCTGCCCCTCCCCCTT